AGGAAAGACTTAACATAGTTTACAGATTAACAAACAAATCAACTCTAAATAATCTGAAGGTCAGTTGCTCACCCTAATGCTATTAACTATGGCAGCAGCTTTGCTCTCTGCAGCCTCGGGGTTTCCTATTAAATAGTCCCAAGCACAGAACAGTCTCCAACAGAAAGTGTAATTTTCATCAGAGGCACTTGCTAAACTCATTCTTGAGTTCTTTGCCATTCTGTAAAAAAAAAAAAAAAAGGCAATAAATATTCAACTGCTGTAACTGTTTTTAATGCGTGAAGATGAACATGAAGATGAAAACGAAGGTTTATAGTTTTCAGATGTGTCTGCCTGTAACTACCAGTTTGCAGCAATTAGTGACATCGTTGGCAGCTTTCTAAAGAAAATAAAACAGGGTGAGGTTCAGAATGAGCTTCAGTTTTATTCTAGTGCAGAAGTGACTCACTGTGGAAAAGGGAAGGTTCAGCTTCAAAAGTGAAAGTTATTACAGGCAGTGCTAAAAATGTCCCTGAACTGCACTGTGCCAGATAAATAAGTATCAGGAAGGAAAAGCAGATCAGGAGAGGCTAGCGTGACCTTGCCCCTCTCCATGCACTGCACATCCCTAGATTTATGGTCAGCACAAGCAGCCTTGCTCTCTCTGCTAAGTAGCTCCTTCTCCCAGCCCTTCAACAGCAAAGGAATTAAGCTCACGTTCAAACAAGATGCCACATACTGGCTGAAACAATGCAAATGGTATTACATCTAGGATGGAATTTTTGTATTTGTATTTCAATAGATGGCAATAATAATGCTGAAAGCATTATGCTTAAAATATAAATATCTGTCATAGCAATAATTAAAGCAGAAAAGAAGAAAACAGAAAGGACTTCCGTGAGTGTCAGACCTTGCACTATACAAACGCAAAGCGCACAGATCATCTCATGAACAGCAATGAATGGGAAGACTTACTTTTTTAAGAGAATGATGAAGCTGTAAGCAAACACTGCCATTCCAACAAGGAAGTAGGCAAGAGGCAGTCGATATCCAGCCTTCCCAATCTTCCTGTCACGGCCGTAGTAGCCATAAAACAAAACAGAGTACTGAAGGTAGCCCTGCAAAGACCAGAGCCCATAAGTGAGAGCAGTAACTAACGATTATAACCGAATAACGATACTGAAACAATCAAGAGTGGTTTTAGTCTTGCCCCTAGTGACCAGATGGTGTCCAGGTCTTGAGCAGATGCAATGTGCTCCTTGGGAATGGTCTTGCTGACTGTGCTGCCAAACGGTTCTCCGGCCAGTAGCTGGGAAAGAGAGAGAAGGTCTTGGAAACTGCCTGGCCTGGGGCTGCACAGCAGAACCCACCACAAGCTGCCTGCAGGGGTGATGCTGTCAGGATAGCAAGTATTGGGTCGTTTCTCATTCTAAGCTAGAAACTCCATGAGAAATTCTGCATTCGTTTTCCACTAAACCTGACAGGATTTTTATTGTTTTTTGCTATCTGTGGTCTACCTATGGGGAAATTTAGTGCTCTATAGACATCTTCAAAATGGGTGAGAAATGAAGAGAGATCAACTGAAACCATTAACAAAATAGCTTTAAAAGTTATGTTAGTTTTAATTTAAGCATTTTTAAATTAATTATGATATTGCTTGATCTCTAAATGGTATTTGAAGATTAAATCTACTTTTCCTTAAAAAGGTATAAAATGAAAGAGAAAGCCTTTTCTATTTCAATTTACTTTTTTGTTTGTTTTGAGGGTACTTTTTTTTTTTAGTTTAGTCAATGAGAAGAAAAATCAGATATTCCTGTGTTTTCTAATAATTTTATTAAAGCACACGTTAGGTAAGGCAAAATAATATTTATGAATAATTTAACAAAGTTATCAAATAGTCTTGCTTGCATGCAAGAACTAAACAGAGTTGTGGTTGTTCAGAACTTTGAGAAAATGATTTCTAATGGACAATAATCCATTGTGTGGAGAAAGATGTTACATTTTTCTGCCTGTAAATGGCACTAACAGGACTTGAGTGTACTCAACTCCAACTACAGCTTTTAGAATTTGGTTCTCCGTTTTAGTAATCAGATACAAACATACTCTGTAAAAGCATTAGTACCATGTTGACAAAATATCATCTCTAACACTAACAGCAAAATTCTTTTATCCTTTGCCAGAAAAAAAAAAAACCTCTTAATAGTAGAATTTATTTTAAATAATTCACTTTCAATTGTACATTTCAAATTGATGTATGCCTTTAAGAGCAGTATTTTTTTAATTCAGAAAGGAAAGTGCAACAGTAAGCATTTTTCTGTAAATATTAACAACATGTTCTTACCTCTGGTAAGACTACAAATGCGCCTGTCATTATCGTAAGTACAATATTGATTCCAAATAGCCATCTCAAGAAGATGAAGTAAGAGGCAACTCCAGACCCAAAATGACCTTAAACCACAGAAAATAGTTATCAGAGCTACACAGTCTGTAAAAGCTCACATCATTAATTCATGAAGTATTATTTGAATAATAAAACAAAATAAAAACCTTTCTTATTCATGCAGGGCATACAGCAAAGCAGAGAAAATGTTAACACCTCCATGAGGAAAACATAATTCTAACACAAACTCTGTTGAGGAAATCTTGCCATTACCAGCAGTGTTTACACAAGAAACTGCCATGTTGGGTGACGTCATGCATCTGATATCCCTTTGCTGCTGGAGCGCAGAGGTGTGACCTGACGGCTGATGTAATGTTAAGGGCTGCTTTAATTCAATTCAAAGACTCAAGGGCTGGTGACGCAGGTTACAACCACACTTAACCCCGGGCAGATCTGGGGCTGTTGGCCTGAGGATGCTGCCCCATTGACTGTGATAAACTGTAACCGAATCTTGCTGCATTTTCAGAATGACAATGGGACAAATTTGACTTTTTAAAAGTTACCCCCCACTAACACCGTAAGTGAGAACTATACAGTGTCTAAGGCACCAGGAAAAGTAGAAAAAGCAAAGTTTTAAAACAATCTGCTGAAAGTTTGCATCTAACTCTTTCTCCCAAATATTATTTATTTAATTCAGTAAATTCAAAAGTAAACCCTAAGACCCAGTATTTTAGCAAGTGCTTTACTGTTCAATAGCATTAAATCTTTATACTTACTCTCAATTTTCTTTATTCTCATTTCCCAAGGAATAAAGATTACCACAAAGTTATACGCAAGTCGAATAAACTTCCTCCAAAGCTGAGAAAAAAGTAGAGAAATGAGACACTTCTGCATTAAAAAAAAAAAAAGAAATGCAGAGTATTTTGCTCATGTCTCTCTCATCTGGTATCATAGGAAATATTACAAATGTTAATTACTAAGACTTTAGAGCATGTCTGAGAGTAAGGTGGGTGAAGTAAACCCCAGTGTGTTTCAAACACACAAAAGATGGGGGCACAGGAGTCCTTGGCTCTGCCCACCAGCCAAACGCCAGCAATGATGAGGCAGAGTGCCCTTTATGCACCTCTGAGGGTACAGTCAGGGGCCGCCAATCTATACATAAAGATCGTGAGGAACCAACAGAAGGAAGCCAACGGGCACCATTCCCTGTCACCTTCTCCATGGCTGGGGGCTGCGGGGGAGGAATGGCGGAGAAGGGCCAGGCAGCGGCTCCGGGCAGCAGGAGCCATCCGAGCTGGGTACTGGTGGGATGCCTGGCCTCTGGGTAATTTATGAGGGAATCCCACGGCACTACATGGAATAAATTTGATTTCTGGGACAAACAAATCAACAGACAACTAACTTCAAATTTGAAGAGAATCATAATGCCTTAGAGGAAATGTTCTTTGAGGAAGAATAAGCTTTTGTATTCAACAGCAGCAAATTCAACTATTATATTCTCAGCTCTGTGTGTTACAGCTGACACCTACAGAAAACCTGTGCTCATATTTTGAGGAGTCTTTAACCTCCGTTTTTCGCATGGTCAGAGGAAAGCATCTTCCTGCATGCAGTGGGATGTGCATACACATGTGGGAGAAGAAACAAAATCTGCCTGTGTAAAATCGAGTGCAGTTTTTAGTTTGTTGAATTAGACTTATAACTTTACAGTATCAACAGAAAAATAGTATTTGTATGTCATGCATTATTAAGTGTCTTTAGTACAGTTTGATATTAAAATAAACTCTATATTTTAGGCAGCAGCAGTGTCAATATTATATCATGTAATCTATTCTCCTAAAACCTAAGAGGAGAGATATCGTGTATATATATATGTGTATATATATATATATATATATGATATACGAATATATCATCAGTCTCTTTGGCTGAAGTTAATTAATTTTTATGGTGGTATGCATATTTTATTGCATGAACGGGAAGTATTTTAATTAAACGAAGAAATTGTAGATGCTGTGAATTGCATGGGAATTGCTGGGATTGCGACTTTCATTTGGAAACAGGGTTCACAAGGCTGAGAAAGGAATCGAGCAGCTTGTGCCATTTATAAAGCATAAAAAAGGTGTCCACGTGGGAATAGCATTTGTTAAAATTATTATTAAATAGCTATTGCCTCTTTTCCTGCCTACTGCATACCTGAATGATAATTTATACTTTGGATGAAGGGTATGGGCATCTGGCATTAATTGCAAATGTAAAAAAATACAATGCAAATATAAAATAATTGAACTGAGAACAAAAAAATGCTTTCAGTGTCAAAACTATAAAGCTATTTTCACTCAAATTTTCATCAATAATAGCACGAATATGTTGTCCAATTATGAACAGTGTGTATTTTGCCAATTTTAAAAACTTGTTTAAAAACATATGCACTTACAGCTACATTTTGTTCATAGTATATGTTCAACCATTGAGTTCTTAATTTTGAAGATGTAGCGCTTGTTTTGGTGTGCTACAGTTTTTGTCTCCTTGGTCACCATGCTATTTTCTGAGAAAATACGTGAAAATGAAGCCCTTCCAATTAAAAAAAAATGCAGCTCATTCTGCATTTGCTGAATTTAGCTCTGATGTAAAGGCTATATTCCCTAATTTGTGCTAGGAAAAAAGAATACAGTTCCCCTACACATAATGAGTGGTGCTAATTAACTGCTGAATTATATCCCTGTGCTGAATATCTTCAAGCAAGCACACACAATAGAGGCAATTAGATTAGATACAAACTTTTATTCATTATGAACTCTAAGATGAAAGCCTCTGGGTTTTTTTGATAGGAAGGGGAATATGAACAAGCAATGAGCCCAATCTCTGATTTACTGATGTGCGTTGCAGACCCTTAGCACTTCTCTTTCTAGGTAACATCCTAGTTCCACTGAAGTCAAAGGCAAAAACCAGTGTTTATTTTAACAACAACTGTTACTGCTGCTCCATTTGCCACACATGCAAAGGCAGAACGAGACAAGATGAGTCTTGCCTTGAAAATTGTACTTTTAACCTTTGCTGTGGGCCCGTGTAATGGAACAACAGATACACATGCCGCCTTTCGTTTGTTCACGTGAATAAAACGCATGGTGACCTATTTTACTGTGATTTTTTTGAATTAAGATACATTACTCATTAAGAGTCTAATTACGATGGCAAAAATATTCTTGACCATTTAGATGACTAAAGAGCTCTTCTCTCACGGTTGCGTATTAAGAACAATTGCCTACATGTTATTAATTTCCAGAAGTTAGGGCCAGAGTCTGTTTTCAGTGGTGTAAATAGGTTTGCTAAGATTAGATTCAAATTCTTTGAGTATTATGCAAGTAAAAACCTTGTTTAACAATGTATTTACCATAAGCTATTGTAGGATTGTCTTCCAAACTAAAAGCTAGAAGCATTTTTCATACTAAACTATTGAACTGTAACCCCAGAGCCTGGTGAAATAGCTCTCCAGAGAATATTTGCATTGTGTTGTTGGTGTCCCATTCCCATCATTCCCTCTAGCAGGCATCGATACTTGTAGATTATTTGAGCAGGAAGCTTATACCAGGTTAATAGAAGGACATCCATGCCTCAACACATCAAATTAGTCTGCAAAAATGTAATTTCAAAATTCACAATACAGGGAAAAAAACAAAAAGCAGCTTTTAAATGCTTTTTACTCCCTCTGCAGAGATCCTGAGTTGGAGATGAGGACTGCATAGCAAACATACGCTTCTGTGAATGAAAACTGCACATGACTATTGCTATAGAGAAGAGCTGTAATTTAAGAAAAAGCAGCTGTACCTCTGCACCAGCGGCTTGGTAACCTCTTGTTCTCGTGAGCCTCCCTTCATACTTCAGCACAATCTCCTTCGCCTGTCTGCACGAGAAGGTGGAAGTTCATTCTACATTGATCCCATGACTCGGAGCCCCTTATTCTGCACAAGCAGCTACTAGTAAAGTTGTCAAATGCTCTGAAATACAGTTGTGGACTGTCTTACCATAAAATCCTTATCCAGGCAAAGCTTTTTTCTTTTCCTATTGACATTTTTTACTGAGACTTTAAAATCACTGGGAATTTTGTCTGAGAAAACTCAGCATTCAAAACTTTGACTGCAGGGAAAGTTTTCTATTCTTCTGATTTTTTTTCTTCGTCCTTTTGATTCAAAGTCTTTCTTTTAAAATGGTGCAGCCCAAACAAGTAAAATAAAAAGATTGCCATTACAGTCTGGTTGATCTCATGTGGATACTAAGGCTTCTGGAAATATGGTGCAGCCCTCTTGTAAGATGCAAAGAGGTGCATGTTTATCTGGTCATACATAGTCTTTGACCTCAGCAGAAGGTAGATGGGGACCACCAAAATCTCGTCAACAGGAGCAGGAAGGCAGCAAGTCACAGACTGTGCCTAACAGAAAAATCTCTCTTTGCTTCCAGGCTTATGCAAGGGCTCTACTACTGCTTGGGTGTCCTCATGACTAAAATGCCATCCTAGCATCAAGCAAGGTTTTAAGAGAAAGATGCTGGACGAAAAGGAAAAATAAAGCAAGTCTTAAACAGATCACTCTGAGAAAGACCTGGCACAATTTAGACAGGTGGCCCAAAGAGATAGGCACCCACTTTTTCATTGTAAATTTCTAATTATTAGTATAGTAATTGCAATCTTAAACTCTGAAATATGTTATTACTACAGTGAAAGTATCTTTTAAACCTACAAGTGTCCAGTATCTACTGCCATTTACAATATATTACCTGAAGGTTATGACCAGCTTCTGTTCTTGTTCCATGCAATTACCTTGAAAATAGCAGATTGTTTTTCCTTTTTGGCACAGAGTGAAACTATTTAGCTTAAAAATGTTACTACTGAGCATCACCAACAGCCTTTCCTTAGACCACTGAACAGCTGACACAATTTTAATAGTTAATAGCCTAAGTGTGATTTCTTGCCCTCTCTCCCGTACAATGACTGTCTAAAGGGAGCCACAGGCACGCACAGAAGACAGCTTCACCTGCAGACTTCCCACCTCGAGGTTTCTGCCTTCAGCTAGCTCTCAGGTCTCATCAGGGCATCCTCACAGCACACTCTCACTCTCCTAGCAGCTCTTCGTAACTTCTGCGCTCAATCCATCCCAGGTTACACTGAAAAACTTGAGTCACAGTCCGTGAGGCTGAAAGTGTTTGTGCAAACACCATTACCTGAGCGCCCTCAGCTTCTGCCTCATCGGCCATGGCCGGCAGCGGATGTTGGACATTATCTCCTTCTGGTACTGGATGTTCTGAAAGATCTGCTCTGGGTCATGGCTCTCAGCCTTTTCTTCACTGATATCATCGTCCGAGTTGCTGGCAGCCCCACACACACCCCATGAGAGGAAAAAAAAGACAAATTATTCCCAATCAGATCCCCAGCAAACTGTTGATTTGCACAGGATCCAACCTATTAGAGCAGTGAGCTATGGAACTTGCACAACCTTATGATTTTAAAGTCGATGAATTATTCATATGAGTTCCCCATCTCCAAGATCCCTTTTTTCCTCCCCACCACTTGCTGCTCAGTCATAAATTATCCTCGCTCTCCACCACGAATCCCAGTCTTTCCTCTCCGAGCATTTCCAGACTTACAGCTGGTACATCATGCTAGAAGACACTCGGTATATTTTTTCGGGAACAAAGTGCTGTCTAAACATTTCCAGCAAGAGCACTTAACATTCATTTATTCACCACGCAGTGTCAGCCTTTTATTTTGATTGTAATAATGATAAAATATTTCCTTGTTAGAATGGGGGGAACAGATACTTCGAACGCGGTTTCACTTCATTCCTGCTCCCTTTTGAGTGGGACGGGAATGTAGGACCCTGCCCCCCAGGAATTACTTGTGCCTGTAAAAAGATTCATGTGCTTTGATGCAGATTTCTGTGGATGATTATTAAATCATTTTTTCTTCTGCTATCACCACATTTGCTAAGCTATATCTCTCTCAGTTATCTATTTGAAACAGGGTGTTGTATATGAAACAGCAGCAATATTTGTTCTTACAGAGGTTTAGATCTAAAAACCCGTGGCAACTGTTTGAATGAAATTAGAAAAACTGACGTACTGCAACAACCACCAGCTAGGAAGTTTTCTAATTGTACTGCTATGTACTCATTGGGAAAATTCTCTGCAATTTTGCTGGAAAAGCAACACCTTTTAATTGATTAGAAACAAATCATAACCTAAAGCATGGCTTGTAAGAACATTCAAAAGACATACTTTGTCAGACTACTGATCCATTGTCCTGTCCCCTCGGTCAGAGGCGACATTCAAGGGAAATATATAATGGAAAAGCACAGAGGGATTTCTTACCCTGCTATACCCTGAACTTGCTGAAATTACACTGTTTTATGTGCAGTGTTTATTTTGCAGTATGAAACATGATTTTTATGATAATTAAAAAAAAAGAGAGAGGTTTAAAATACATCTGAATACAGAAAGAAGAGTGATTTTTCTCATGCTCTTTTTCATGTTACTCCAGTGCCTAAATGAAAAGACAAGATCCCATTTCTGTGCCAGATAAAGCAGATTTGCCCTTTAGATGAGAGAGGGTCTCTTACCTGTGGGGTGGCTCCTGGTAGGTGTAGATGCCGGCGTGCCTCTTCACCGTTCGGTACTTTTTGCAGGACTTGGCATTTCTTGCTGCAGCCGAGCCCGTTGCTGCTGCCATGGTGGCAGCTGCCGCCCGTGCCAGGTGGAACTCTGCTAGAAGGAAGCCTGTAGCTCACTGGTCAGATGGCTCGTAAGCAGCCAAACGTTATTAAGTAGAGAGCAGCGAGCGACTGCGAGCCCTGAGGAGCGGAGCGGAGGATTGCTGCCTGTGCTGGGAGCCCCAGCCTGGAGAGGACCTCTGCCCAGCAGCTCCTGCACGCCTTAAAGCGGCAGCACACAGCAGCCCCCGGCAGGGTGCTTTTAGTGAGATGCCCAGAAGCAATGTGGGGAGCAGAGCCCAAGTGTGGGCCAGCTGTGGGCCCTTAAATCAAAGCCAAGTTTCCCTTGTCACAGATGAGGTGTTCTCTCAAAGCAACATCCCATCACACCATGCTGGCCCACGCTGGGTGACGTTTCCAAGGAACGCGCTGGACGTACCGTGGACATCTTTGCTTCACGTGCTTCAGAAAATGTTATTGGTTGGGTAAAGCAGGACAGTTTGCATTTTGGCTTTTACTAACAGAGAAAAACGCGACGTCATTTTCCCACAAGACTTCCAGATCCTCGACCCGAGGATAGTCCTGATAGAACACACAGCTGCTGCTTTCCTGGGCCCTGGCCCCTATCCCTCAGCATGACCTCCATTCCTTGTACCTAAATTTACAGCTTTTCTTTTGGAGGTACCACAATACCTGCTATTCAGATGAGTGCAGATTACCAAGCACTTCACTTTTTCTTAGTAGTTGTAATCTTCTTAATTATGCTCAATTCCCTTAATTACTGTATCATCTTTAACGTTTACAATAAGCATTGCCTAGATTATTGATCATCATAGTGGTTATTTCTAGAGCTAAACCACTGGAAAACATTACCATACAATGCTTGTTTCCCGTTTCTTCAGCTCTACCAAATAAATTTTATTACAAAATTAATTCGATAGACTAAAAGTGTATTTAACAAAAAATCACTTTAAAAGACAACAAATGGACCGGTGCTGTTAGCTTGAGGAGCCTTTATTAAATAACCATTCTCTCTTTCTCACTTTCTGTATGTCCTGGGGCAAACTCTTGCACTTTCAGGCTTCATCTTCCATCCTCTAAGAAGGATAGTATTTCTGCATTTCACGGGAATGACTGTATGATGCTTGTGTATTATTACACCATTAACTGTTGTCATATGGGCATGAACTTCCTAATTCAGTCAAAATATTCATGTGCATGATAAAACTGATCTTAAAACACCAGTATTCAGTTTCGAATGTCTCAGAACCAAAATACAGTAGCATTAGCTTTGACTCATTTTGTATCTACTCAAAATGTAATCCATCCATTTAATCCAAGATTAGCTTCTGGACAACTTACATACTGTACTTCCCAGTAGTCATATTTTCAAGGTGGAGAGTCCCCTGACACAATCGCTATAGTCAGCACCAACACCACTTGTCTGTCAGCATCTCTGTGATACTGGTTTGGGGTTGTTGGGACAGAACAGACTGCTCCAAGCTTTGCAGAGATCAGGGCAGCTGAAGAACTTGTTATGTGGTCAAGTGACTTTACAGTGCCTTTCTGCATTGTAGAATTTGCAGGTATTCTGGGCCACATTATTACAATAGAGCAAAACAGATCAAGAAAACTCATTATGAATAGTTTCTATGACCATAATTTGATGCTGAGAACGTGGGGGAGAAAGGAAGAGTTTACAGGGTTTTCACTTGTTCCTAACTTGGTATTTTCTCTCCTTAATAGCTCTGTGCACTATGCGGCAAAGGTTTCAGTTACATAAATCAATGGTCTGTTGTAGTTAACTTTTATTTGCAACCTCTGACAAGAACGAACATTAAGTTCTCGCTGCAAAATTTCCTGTAGAGAATAGCACAGGCTGCTTTTTCCCTCTGCCCTGAGTTTATCTAAAATATTGCCACTCGCTGAGAAATTTTACTTTTCCATGACCGTGGTTCTGTCTGTCGTACTATGCTTATTTAGTTAAGTTACTAAAGGGCTAAGTAGTCACAAGCCTCATTATTTATACTCAGAGTTAGTTACCTGGTTTTACAGTTTTGAAAGAGTGAGTCCATTTGGTATAATTCACTCCGCACTTTTTAGATGACAAGGAAGGATCGGTTTAGAGAAGGACAACTCTGCATTTCCAAAACATAGCCAACAGTAAAGTCCAGAGCCCTGGGTGTATCTTGTTTGAAGCTTCTTCAGAAATCTGGAAGTTCCATTAGCACAAGGCAGAAGAGCACTAAAATGGTAAAGAAATGCCCCTATTCAGAGTCCAGTACAACTAGGTAGCTGTATTCTGCACCACCCCTTTCACTCCCTCTTGCATGGCTTAAACCTAGTAAAAATCATTAGTGGAAACATCACTTAGCCATGTCCTACTTACTACATGAGTTTTTCTGTGAACTGAAGTCACTATCCCAACTGCATTCCGAGCATCTCTTGCACACACCAGAGCCACAACAGAGACTGAAGGGTGTGGGCTCCAATTTCCAGCTGCCCAAGAAGGATGGACTGTAATAATTTTACTTTTTCTGTGCTGCATTTTATTATTTTTCATAGTGAAACCTGTAAAATAAAGGCTGTTAGAGCTTTGACATATCAAACTATCTGTACCATTCTTAAATCCACCAGCCTTGGAATGGCTTTCCTGTTTGGCTTCTAGATCACAGGGCAGAAGTATCATCCTACTATCCTCCCTGTGTGTCAGACCATTCATCAAGTGAAAGCAAACAGCCAAAAGGAATGAGTATCAGCCCAGAAACATGTCTCCACTGAAAGGCTTATCACCTCTTTCCAGCTGGAAAAACAGAGGAACTATTGTGAGTGCCAGAAACACCCTTTAAAGCTTTGATGCTGCGGGTGTACTGCAAACACACCCACTTCACCACTTTTTTTGACCTGCTGCAAGATATGTTTTCCATTCTATAATTTAAAAGCAATAATAAATATGTCAGTTCAAATATGTTTCCTTGGTTGTAGTTATTCCTTTGCATCTTGGCCAGTGACATGGTGTTGGGGGCCAGATTCTGCTGCCTTAGTTCATGAGAATAAGCGCCTCCCTAGTCAGACCAATCTACTAAAGTCCATTAGCTGCCTGCTTATTCCAGTTACGTGCAGAAATGTTAAAATCATGTTGCATGTAGACATCTCACTAAGGAAAATTCCCATACACACACAAAGTAAGTTTTGACACAGTAACATCCCGAGTCCCTCAGAGAACATAAGCTAGATCTCCAAAAACTACAGGAGAGAGACTCAGCTGTTTCTCCCTCTGTATTACTGTTCCTACTTCCACTTTTCGCTGGGCTTTCAGATGCCCTAGTTTTCATTTGAAGGAACCACACTGGAGAGATTAAGACTTAACATCATTGGCAGTTCCCAGAGATTACTACACTTCACAGATAAAGCCATATCCTTTAATATGATGTTAGTATAGCACTACCAAAAACATTAAAATGCTAACATTAATGATTTACATAGATTTAATTAGCTAGGGTATCTTAATGTTTCCACAAGGAAGATTTATTTTGTTTCTGTTTGTCAGAAGAAAGCCTAAAGTCTAAAAAACAAAGGGGCAGTTTAAGTCTGACATTTATATAGCTCTAATACTGCCAGTGCTGGAATCACATACGTAATCTGAAGTTACTACGAAACACTAAAAGCACAACAAGCAGCAAGAGGCTCGTGAATTCAGAGCCCATCTGACAGGAAGATGCAGGTTGCTTTTTAAGAGAAAACAGAAAGCAGGCTTCAAGAGCTTACCCCTGAAGTTGGTGTTCTCCATTGCCCATGACCCCTGCAAAGGCCTCTTTAAAGAACTCAAGCGTTAACTCAGATCATAAAGAGGGTTTTGGTTTTGCTTTTCAACTCAGCAAGCAGATTAGCAGCCAGAACACCCAGCTGCCCGTTTCAATATGCTCTATTGAATCCAGAAACCTACTGGGGCGTTTGTTTTACTCTGAACGAATACTTCAGGGGTTATAGATTTGATTTCAGTTGCCATTAACTGGATGTAAACCAGGACATCAACCTTTTACTGCAAAACTTACAGCGGCAGCTCTCTGTGCATAATAGGAAGCCTCACATTTGATCCATAGGATCATTTTGCATTTTCAAACACTTATCCAGGAAAAAGCCAGGTTGGTGAACTCTGCTTACTGAAAATTCAGGCAATCAGTAGGCTATATTTCTCTGTGCCTGTCCGTTCCCATGGACTTTCAGTTTAAGTTTTACCCATCTTTCCAGCACTGCAGTTAAATTCTGGGGCCATTTCAGTATCTTTCTGCGTGGAAGGTTCACAACACTGCTGATCCCAGTTCCAAGGTGAAAATTCAGAAAGGATGGAGTTTTCCAGTCATCTTTGTAAAAAGAGAGTATTATCCCTCCAGATCCTTAAGTATGTAAAACAAGTGGGGAAAAAAAAGTATTTGGAAACACTGAAAAAGGAGACTGATGCATCTTTAAATGAACTAATTATCTTTAGTGCTAAAAACATGAAACCCCTCAGAAAGCAGTGATAGGTAATGATGCTGTACAGCATCCAGCTTCGTGTGAAAACAGTGGAACTTCTCTTAGTTTGAGGACCTTTGCTTTTAGAGCTCAGACCAAAAGAAAACCCAGTTGGGCTTCAAAGACAGACCAATCTCAGTTCACCTGTTTGTTCCCCAGAGATATTATAGCTGCACACTTGAACATAAAAGAAGTTATGGGATTTCCAGGATAACAAAGCCAAAGCCATTGTCTTTACTTACTGAGAGTAAAATTGATCTGCTGAACTCTGTTCAATCACTGTCTCCCCACAAGATTGTTTGGGCAGTTTAATTTCATGCAGTAGGTTTTGCTCTTCAATTTCAGCATGTTCATAACTCTTGCTGACATTTATCAGACTTGGATCAAGGGGAATACTCCCATAGTGGTTCAATTTTCTTTGTGAATTCACATCCCATGTAAAAAATATTCAATTTAAAAAGCTTGTCCTGTGCAGTTAACTGATCTTACATCACCATAAGATGAC